ACCTTTCACATGACCCAGCCATTTCACTTCTGGGAAACTACCCAAGAAAAATGAAATCAGCATACGAAAGAGCTATCTGTACCTCCATGTTTATCACAGCTCAATTCACAATAGCAAGGACATGGAATCAACCCAAATGCCTATCAACTGAACACTGGATACAGAAATTATGGGATATGTACACCATGGAATACTACATAGCAGTAAAAAAAAAAGAAGTCTAGTCATTTGCAATGAAATGGATAAACTGGAAAACATCATACTTAGTGAAATAAGCCAGTCCCAAAGGGACAAATTTTATATGTTCTCCCTGACATGTGATAACTAATAGAACACCTAAAAGACAACATATAGAAACGAAATTGACTCTTTGAGAAGCAATGATTATGAACAGCTCTCCTGTTGACTGTTGAGGAACAGCTTCTTATTCTATTTCTTTATCTTTTCCTTTATAATATTTTTCATATCTTTTTCTCTTTCATACAATTCATTGAACACTAAACATTGAGTTAATCACATATGTATACTTAAGTGAAAATAGATCTTTGCAAAGAATAAGAGTGAAAATAAGAAAGGGAACAGGTAGGGAGGTGGGAATGAGGGTGGGAGGGTGGCACAGTGGAATCACCAAGATTATGAAGATGTAATTGTCAAATGTATGAAGTATGCAACTGCAAAGCAGTATAGTCCTACATACATTCATATGGGCATACTTCTAAGGGTACAAACTAACAACCATAAGACCCCCAAATCCCTGAAGCTGGCTAATAAAAATAGCAGCTTAAGTGTAAGAAAGATCAAATGGATAGGAACAAGTGACCATATAGATATGATCAAGAGTGATCATATTAATAGGACTAAGTGTTTGGAAATAAGAAGAAAGAATTAGAAAGAAGTGAAGACTCCAAAATAGGAAGCAGTCCGGCTGGCGCTGTGGCTCACTAGGCTAATCCTCCGCCTGCGGCGCTGGATTCTGTCCCGGTTGCCCCTCTTCCAGGCCAGCTCTCTGCTATGGCCAGGGAGTGCAGTGGAGGATGACCCAAGTGCTTGGGCCCTGCACCCCATGGGAGACCAGGAGAAGCACCTGGCTCCTGGCTTCGGATCAGCGCGGTGAGCCGGCCGTGGTGGCCATTGGAGGGTGAACCAACAGCAAAGGAACAAAGGAAGACCTTTCTCTCTGTCTCTCTCTCTCACTGTCCACTCTGCCTTTCAAAAAAAAAAAAAAGAGAAAATCCTTTAAAAACAAAATAGGAAGCAGTCCATACAGCAGACTCATAGAATGATAATCGCTTTAGATAGCACTCTGATCCCAAAATCAGCCCTTAAGGCATTCTAGTCTGGCTAGAAAGCCCAAGGGGAGCATTTCAGGCATGGAAAGCCAAGACACTCTGGGAAAAAATGTGCTACATAAAGGACCCTGTGGGTGAGACCCCAGTGGAAAGAAGTAGCCATCAAAGAAGGATTTACTTTTCTTTGAAGGGAGGAAAGAACTTCCACTTTGCTTATGGCCTTGTCAAGCTACTGGATCCAAAAGGCTTCGATAGCCTAGGCAGCACATGTCAAGAGTGTTAGGTGATCACTGATGTCATATATAAGAGAGTTAAATAAATAACAAGAGTCACTGTGAACTAACTTCCCATGCAGGACCTCGGTCCATAAAGAATAGTTTTATGCAACTTAATAGTAAAACTTGTTCTCAAGAATCACTTCCTTGGGGCCGGTGCTGTGGCATAGAAGGTAATGCTGCCGCCTGTAGTTCTGGCATCCCATATGGGTGCCAGTTTGAGTCCCAGCTGCTCAGACCTAGAAGACCCTGGCTCCTGGCTTCAGATCAGTGCAGCTCTGGCTGTTGCAGCAAGTTGAAGAGTGAACCAGCAGATGGAAGACTTCTCTCTCTGTGTAACTCTGTCTTTCAAATAAATAAATAAATCTTTTTATTTTAAAAATCACTTCCTTTCAGTGTATTAAAAGGAGGATATTATTATGTCTCATAAGTTATAGTCATGTCTTTTTTTTTTTTTTTTGAGAGAGGCAGAGTGGACAGTGAGAGAGAGAGACAGAGAGAAAGGTCTTCCTTTTGCCGTTGGTTCACCCTCCAATGGCCACCGCGGCCGGCGCGCTGCGGCCAGCGCACCGCACTGATCCGATGGCAGGAGCCAGGTGCTTCTCCTGGTCTCCCATGGGGTGCAGGGCCCAAGCACTTGGGCCATCCTCCACTGCACTCCCTGGCCACAGCAGAGAGCTGGCCTGGAAGAGGGGCAAATGGGACAGAATCCGGCACATTGCAGTTTTTTAGAGAATTTTGATGGAAAATCATTAGACACTCACCTTACAGTTTTGATTTGGTTCCTTTTCTTTTTTTTTTTGGTTATTAGTTGATCGTTTATTGAACCGTTTTCCTCTGTACCAAACTAATTAAAGTCCTAAGACTTAAAACCAAGTTTTAAAAATTTGCTGTTTACATTTTATTTTCATACAATAAATGGCTAAGTTACAAATCTGGAAATCTTCTAAATGTTAAAATATATTATTGGCATTTGTAAATCAATAAAGTGAAAATATGTAAGGTTCTACAAGCCATTTTTGGGACACTGTGAATATTAGGCACAGGATAGTGAGAAATCAAATGTTAAAATTTGGCTAAATACTAACTTTTTTTTTTTTAACAGGCAGAGTGGACAGTGAGAGAGAGAGAGAGAGACAGAGAGAAAGGTCTTCCTTTGCCGTTGGTTCACCCTCCAATGCGGCCGGCACACCACACTGATCCGAAGGCAGGAGCCAGGTGCTTCTCCTGGTCTCCCGTGGGGTGCAGGGCCCAAGGACTTGGGCCATCCTCCACTGCACTCCCTGGCCATAGCACAGAGCTGGCCTGGAAGATGGGCAACCGGGACAGAATCCAGTGCCCCGACCAGGACTAGAACCTGGTGTGCCGGTGCCACTAGGCGGAGGATTAGCCTGTTAAGCCGTGGCACCGGCCTAAATACTAACTTTTAAATATACGATTTGCAAGAATTCCAAAATTTCTTCACCAAAATAAACAGCTTTTAATTTCATTTTCCATGAACTTTTTAAAGTACTTTTGTGCAAGTGGAAGAGAATATTGAAAGAAAACTTGAGAGAGATGTTAAAACTTTTTCTTATTGCAAACACAGGGATCTCACTAATTGTTTTATTTGGACAACATAAATGATTTTTTCAGGCTATTTTATAATTTAAAGAAATCCAGAGTTATTGAGCCCTTCCCTACAGGATTAGGAAACAAGGAACTAACACTAGCTCATCTTGCAGAGCAGCACAATACTTTGTTGAGACTTCCAGATAAAACTATGAAAAGCAGCTAGAAATCACTAAAAGAACTAATAACATTTTGGGCCAAAATCTCCCCTCACCAAGTAGGTTAAGGCTGCCATTTTTGAACATGTGATGTATGAGGTGTGTAGCTGACATGCATCTGCTCAGAAAAACCAGGAGTGACCCTTTCTTTCTTTCTTTCTTTTTTTTTTTTTTTTTGACAGGCAGAGTGGACAGTAAGAGAGAGAGACAGAGAGAAAGGTCTTCCTTTGCCGTTGGTTCACCTTCCAATGGCCGCCGCGGCCGGCGCTGCGGCGCACTGTGCTGATCCGAAGGCAGGAGCCAGGTACTTATCCTGGTCTCCCATGGGGTGCAGGGCCCAAGCACTTGGGCCATCCTCCACTGCACTCGCTGGCCACAGCAGAGAGCTGGCCTGGAAGAGGGGCAACCGGGACAGAATCTGGCGCCCTGACTGGGACTAGAACCCGGTGTGCCAGCGCCGCAAGGTGGAGGATTAGCCTAGTGAGCCGCGGCGCCGGCCGACCCTTTCTTAATTAACCAATTAACTCCCATGTTCCTCCCACAGTCACACCTAGTCCCCTTCTTAATAAATATCTTTTGTAAAAGCTGTATGGGAAGTCAGATTCCAGCACTGCTCCTGCCTCATAATAAACTGTTTTTCCTTAAATGGCCATGACCTTGGTGTTTGGCTTTTGGATGTGCACAGGCAAATGGATTCAACTTGGTTCTGTAATACTTTATTGAAAAGACTTAAAAACTGAGAAATTGCACTATTAATTAGTTTATCCAGTGGGTTCAAAACAAAGATTTTATTGGAGAGTCAGAACTACTAATCTTTGGCTCAGTTTCCAGGTGTTAAAGATTTAGTTGGTATCTGATTTATTGGTGACAAGGTGTAAATTAACAGTATAACAGTTCACATTCCTTGTTAACCGGATTTAGAGTTAAAATTCACTGTCTACAGTTATGTGCCAGGTACTGTCTACTTTACTTTCATCTCAAATTTCATTATAACACCAGCTTCTTATTACGAATGAACAAAATCTCCAAATTCATTGCTCTTTGGTTTCTTTTGGCCAGGTGAGGCAGATTGGAGAGCTTTAGGCTCCAGGTGTGCTACATTGCAATTCTGAAGTTCTCCTCTGCTTGACAACCATGTTGGAAAGGGATTTCAGTGTACAATGAAACTTTCTCTTCTTCTTTGTGCTGATTAATCTTATAATGAGCCAGGCAAGAAAGTTGAGTTTTACTAAAACATAGAAAAGTGAGAGTTCTTTATACAGTAATTAAACTGGTTAAGCGGGGCTGATGCCGTGGCTCACTTGGTTAATCCTCTGCCTGCAGCGCCAGCATCCCTTATGGGCACCGGGTTCTAGTGCCCCCTCTTCCAGTTTAGCTCTCTGCTGTGGTCCGGGAAGGCAGTGGAGGATGGCCCAAGTGCTTGGGCGCCTATACCCGCATGGGAGACCAGGAAGAAATACCTGGCTCCTGGCTTCGGATCAGCATAGCTCTGGTCGTAGTAGCCATTTGGGGGGTGAACCAACTAAAGGAAGACCTTTCTCTCAGTCTCTCTCCCTCACTGTCTAACTCTGTCAAATTAAAAAACAAAAAACAAAACTGGTTAAGCAATTTATATTTTACATGACTTCAACTAAACCATCCCATGGAAGAGACACAGAAAATGATACCTTTTTGGTTTCAAATTGTGCTTCTTCCTGGCAGCATCCTCTGCAATCAGGATCCAGCTGAAGCAGGTTGAACTGTCCAAGGAGATCACAAGAGCTGCAGAGCAAGTTGCTAGAGAAGCCTAACTCTCTGCATGCCTCCGATGAAAACTCTGCCCCAAAAGCAGACACCTGGAAATAAAAAATTGGGAAATAAAACATAAAAAGAAGAGAAAATGGGGTTGATAATGGATATGAGTTACTGAAATGGTTCATTTGGAGACAGACTCTGTAATGTTATAGATTCTTCCACTTCCCCCCCAAACTTTTTACTTAAAATTCTGACATCTTTCAGCTTAGCTAAAATATGGGTTAATGAAAAAGAGATAAGTAATTTTTATAATATGTATATACATCTTTTATTAAACATTCAATAGTTATTTATAAAAAGAATTTCCGTATATAAAAAATAATTATCATTTCAAGAACTTAGCACTTGTTCATTTGAGTCCCTGGAATAACATTAACTGACTTACCTGCGGTCACATCCAACTAGGGGAGGGTAGGAAAGGCGATGGGGTGCAGAAAGACAAGAGTACAGAGTTCAAACTTTTGGTTTTAGATGAAAGGTCCACCACTTAAAAGCTGTGTGACCCTAGGCAAACTATCCTATCGAGATTTTAATCTCACTTATATGGTAACCAGCAATACTTTCTACATAAGATAGACTGTTATAAGGATTAAGTAAAATGAGCTATATCAAGTATCCAATCAGACTGACGGACAAAAGAAGTTAGTTTTCAAAAATATTAGTTCTCATGGTCAGTGTTGTGGTACCGTGGGTTCAACTTCCACTTGTGATGCCAGGTTCCCACACTGGAACACAGGTTTAAGTTTCAGCTCTTCCACTTCTGATCCAGCTTCCTGCTAATGTTCCTGGAGAAGCAGCAGAATATGGTCCAAGCACTTGGGCCCCTGCCACTCATGTGGGAGACCATGTTGACTTCAGTCTGGCCCAAACCTGGCTGTTGTGATCTGGGGGTGAACCAGCAGATGGGAGATCTCTGTCTTTCCCTCTTTGTTGCTCTGCCTTTCAAATAAATATTTAAAAAACAATGACTAGTTTTCACCTTACCCACTGTTCTTTCATGCTTCAGTAAATGTGGTATATTTCCATCTGTCACCTGTGCTTTGGATCCTATCTTTTCTGATCTCCACAGATTTCATTTCATCAATACCTCAATCCTTCAGCATAGTCAAACCCTGTGGTTATAAATATCCTCCCCACATTCTATCATTTCTTCTTCTTTTTTTTTTTAAAGTATCCATTTTAATCTTTAAGAACATCTTCTGTGCTTTAACTGGTTTTGTCTCTATTTTCATCTTTTTCATAATTGGCAGTCTCTCTTTTTGGCAAAGTCTCATATCAGAGAGTGAGAGCTCCCAGTGGCTGGCTCATTCCTCAAAAACCTGCAACAGCTGGGACTGAGCCAGGTTGAAGTCAGGAGCTGGGAACCCCATCTGAGTCTCCCGTGTGGGTGACAGAGACCCAGCTACTTGAGCCATCACCTGCTGCCTCCCAGGGTGTGCATTATCAGGAAGCTGGAATTGAGAGCAGGGCTGTGACTCCAACCCAGGCACTTTGTTATGGGATGCAGATGTCCTGGGCAGCATCTTATTAACTGCTGTGCCAAACCCTCTCTCTTGTTCTGTTCTTAATATTCATCTACCATGTTAATCTCTCAACCTCAGGAATCCTCTGAATGACATCTTTCCATAGAGAAGATCTTCTCATAACAAGAACCTCTGCTTTTTCTATTAGGAATTCATTCTCTTTAAGCTCTGGCAAATATCTGTGCTCTTCACTCATGATTTTCTTTTCTTGCTTTTCTAGTTGTTTCTTAATTTTCCAGTTCAGTCCACTCTGCATGATGTTCATGTCCAGCAGGTTCATGGACAGCTTGGTCTTTTATATATACTTACATTGGCCTGGCGCTAGTCTCACACTGTCACTTCTGAACTGTTACTAAAGCCTGGTTTCTGATCCTATCACTCCACTAACTTTTCTAAAAATCACCAAATGCGAAGGCATTCAAAACTGTTCTGCTTCAATTGCCCTGTTCATTCTCTGTTTCCAAAGTGTCTCTTAAATGCTTTTATCTCCCACAGCTCTGTTTTAAAACTTTTTTAATTTAAATATATTTAGCAGACATAAAAATTACATATATCTGTGTGGTACTATCTGATGTTTCATTACATGTATACATTGTGTAATGTCCAATCAAGGTAAATAAAATACATTTATCTTTTCAAGCATTTAACATTTCTTTATAGTGAAAACATCCAAAAATATTATCTTTTAGCTTTTTTAAAACAGAGAAATATGCAATAAATTAACATAATCTATCTTCACCTGGCTGCAATAGCGCTCCAGAACACCTAGCTAGCTACAACCTAGTAAAGCATAGTACAGAGAGAAGGAGGGAAGGGGTGGGGTGGGGAGAGAAACTTCCAATTACTGGTTCACTCTCCAGATAACCAGGACTCAGCCAGGACCTTCATCTGGATTCCCATGTTGGAAACAGGAACCCAAGTCATCTATTGCCTCCCAGGCACAGTGGCAGGAAGCTGGATTGGCAATGCCAAGTAGCAGAGACTCAAGCCAACTTTAACTAGCACTCCAATATGGGATGTGGGTGTTTTAAGGGGCAGTTCAATCTGCTGTACCAAAACACCTGCCTTAGTTCTGTTTTTGGCTCTCTTCACGTTGTATATTTTTGGTTGTCGATCACATCTTTATCTATGGCTTTCAATATCCCTTTCTTGAAAACTCTCTATTTCTTTCTTGACTATCAAACTTCCAAAGAGCCCACTTGATGTCTCATTTCATATGCATCGCAAATTCAAAATCTCCAAGAGTGAAACTTTTCTCCTTAAATTTACTCTCCTTAATATATTCAGTATCTTAGTAAAATGACATCACTTCCCTGACCACCTAGTTACCCAGCCAGGTAGTATGTCCTGTACTTCATACCCTTCACCATTTTCAACCAACCGATTATCCTATTTTCACAATTCTGTCTCTTTAAGAGCTCTCACATCTTTCCTGTCTTAGTGGCTTAAATGCCATACATATCTAATGAGATATCTCCAATTCTATTATACTTTCTAGTTAAAATGAATTCCTAAAACACCTTTAAGTTATAAAACTCTCACTCCAGGCAGGCGCCACAGCTCACTAGGCTAATCCTCCGCCTTGCGGCGCTGGCACACCGGGTTCTAGTCCCGGTCAGGGCGCTGGATTCTGTCCCGGTTGCCCCTCTTCCAGGCCAGCTCTCTGCTGTGGCCCGGGAGTGCAGTGGAGGATGGCCCAGGTGCTTGGGCCCTGCACCCCATGGGAGACCAGGAAAAGCACCTGGCTCCTGGCTCCTGCCATCGGATCAGCGTGGTGCGCCAGCCGCAGTACGCCGGCCGCGGCGGCCATTGGAGGGTGAACCAACGGCAATCTCTCTCTCTCTCTCACTGTCCACTCTGCCTGTCAAAAAAAAAAAAAAAAAAAAAAAAAAAAAAAAAAAAAAAAACAAAAAAAAAAACAAAAAACAAAAAAAACCACACACACACAAAAACCTCTCACTCCAACACCATTGCTGCTATTCTTCCTTATGTATAATACCTTTTTATACTTTGTCACCTTGTTAATTCCTACATATTCACAAGAATCTGATCAAAATCAGTCATTTAGGAAGCCTTCCTTGAAAAAAGCACATCTCAATCTTAACCCACAGCACTTTTCTTCTCTGGAAAACAAACATGTGCACAGCAGTGAAACAGTATCACTCATGATTCTGTATCATGTAAATCTAGGACTGTCTACCTCTCCAACAATACCATGAGCTCTTTTGAGGGTAAATATTAAGTTGTTTCTTTGTTTTCCTAGCAATTGTGTTAGTTCTTACATGTTTGTTGAACAAATCAATTGGTCAAAACCATGGCCTCAAGTTGGGGAAACTTCAGATGATTTGATTGCGAACCATCTGACTTGGCTTACCTTCTGGACTGAAGGGCTGCAAACTTTATGTGAAGAGCAAGATGGTAATTATGTTAGACTTTGATGGCAATGTGGTTTTTGTTACAACCACTCAATTCAGCTATTGCAGGACAACAGCAGTCACAGACATTACATAAATGAATGAGTGTGCCTGTGTTCCAATCAAACTTTATTTACAAAAACAGAGTTGGCTGGATTTGGTCCACCAGCTGTAGTTTGTTAACCCTCTTCTAAATTGATGGAACAGACTAAAATCCAGTGGCATTTTCCCAAGATAGGAGAAACGCTAGCATATTCACCCAAAATGCTGATCATCCCATTGGTCTTACTAGTTAACACTCTAATTTGATATTCATACATGTTTTACCCCATCTCTGCAATAATGTAGAATGTATACAATCTTGAAAATAGATCAAACATCCCAGCCTAGTGGGAGGGACCTAAGTTTGTGCAGTTGATTCCTCTGGTTTAAGACATTTGTTGCCATCCTAGTACTTTGGGAAAATTCCCCATTAATAAAGTCATTTGCTTGATTTATTTCACAGGTTAATTTGAAAATGAAATGCAACAATGTGTTAGGTTATATTTGCCAAAGATGGCTGCATCAATATACACAGAGCATCCCAAATGTTCTTACAGTGTGACTGGCAGTGCTCCACTAAGAAGTGGGAGTTTGGTTCCCTCACCTTAAATCTGGGCAGAGGCTGTGACTCTTCAGATCAATGGAGTGTAAAAAAATGTCATTCTTAGAGTAGGTCATAAAAGGGAAACAGCTTCTGCCTGGGCAGAACTAGCGTGTACACACTCTCTCTTTGGGAACATCAACGTTGGAACTTAGCCACAAAACTATAAAGAAGTCTACACTGGAGACAACATGGAAAGTCCATGTACAGAGCAACTGAGACCCACAGCTGACAACCAGCATCAACTACCAGACCTGCAAGTAAAAACCCTTCAGATTTCAGGCCCCAGTCTTCTTGCTGTGGTCTGGGACACCGCAGAACAGACAAGCCATCCCTGCTACTCCCTGTCAGAATTACTGAACCAAAGAACCGGAAAGCCCAACGAACAATTATTTTACATCATAAATTTTAGGGTAATTTTTTTTGCAACTATAGTAACTATACAATAAAAGCGAATTCAC